TTTTTCCTCGTCCTCTACTTTCTTTTCGGAATAAGGTCATCTCACATCTCTCTTTCTTTCTGCCGCTTGCTTTTACACGAACCAACCTTCAGTGTTGCGATGTGCACCCTAAAGCCAAAGCGAAGGAAGTGTGTGGACGTGCTGAATGAAGGCTTTGAGGGTTCCCCTTCCGACCTCTATTTCTACACAAGACCGTGAGTTCCAAATTGAAACTGCTTGTTCCAGCTTCAGAAGACATTCCGCTCGGCAAGGAACATGAAAGCGCTTACAGTTTTAGGGGGTTCCACATTGATAGTGGATCCCACACTTGAGCCAAAATGAACAAACAAGCTCATGAAAGTATAAGTTCTCTACGTCTCTACCTGTCTCTGGAATTCTTGACAGTTTCTCCCAAACTCCTCCACTATTCCAACCACTTTCGCACCTCGACTTTCAATAAGAACCAGCCTATCTATGTTCCTACACAACTTTCCAGAAGTTTCTCTGTAAATTCTCCGAGAGTCTTTTCAAACATGTTGTTGTTCGTATCTGAATGAAACTTGCATGCACTTTCGCTCCAGACCCTTCACCAAGAGGCCCTCTTCACCTTTATTCGAGTTGTCACCTTTATTCACATCTGAAATCAAGACGGGTCCCAAAAGAACCTAGCAGCCAACCTTACGCTCCACTCAGCTGCTTAGCTGCTTTCCCCTTACCAAACACACGAGAGAGAAAGAAACAGGACATACAAGAGAAACAGGAGATGAACAAGAAGGCTACTAGGGGCTCCTGGCATCGCTACTAGGAGCAGGGATGCTGCTAGGGGCTCCTGGCCTGACCACTAGTAACAAGAAGCTACTAGGGGAGAGAATTGGAGACAAAGGACGTCACACGAGATCCATTTCTCGTGGCAGTTCTCGCTGCCATCACAGCCAGCTCTCCTCCTGGAGCAACCGCAGCTGAAGCAGCCGGAAGGAGAGCATGCAGCAAAAAATCAGCCTCATCATCCGACATGAAGACATCTTAATGGAAAACTGCAACGTGCAGTGAGCAGGCTGTTGAAGGGAGTGATGACACATGTGTCATATGATTTCATGCCACATTGCATTTCAGCCAGAGCTGCTTGTGATCTTCGAAAAGGCCACGGTTTACCTTAATTTGTGAAATGAAGGCCTTTGGGAAACGAATGCCTTTTGGTGACTTTGGCATGTATTACCAAAAAAGCAAAAGTGGCGTACCGCAATTCCATTGACCTCACACTCAGTGGAAAGCAACATGATTGAAACCTCACACTCAGTGACAGACCCATCGAAAAATGGTGAGCCGGATGGAGGCAATCAAACGCTCGGTGCGCTCTTTGACATCATCTGTCTCCTGGAAACCAGGACGGGTTGGAATATCCCTTTCTGCAATGCAACGTCGAAACACTTGCAACGTCAATGCAAGGCGTGTCCGTCGCACCTGAGTCCGATCAATGGCCTTTTGCAAGAAAGTGTTGAAGGCGTCCAAGGAGTATTGGTACATGTGCTGAACCTCGACCATTTGTGTTTTGGGGATCCTTGTTTAAAAACCTCTTTTGTGTTTCTTTCACTCCAAACCCTACAGAGCGCGCGACTGTAGAGAGCTCCACAACCAGAAAGAAAAGCATAGAGCCTCTGTCAAACATCTTCGGACTCAAGTGAAAGAAGGACAATGAAAGAAAGACATCTTCATCCCGGCTGTGTTTGCTTTTACGTTTGAATCACAAAGCCCTGACGCCGTCGTTTGAATCGTTCTCACCTTCGGAAGCCACCGAGCGATAGAGCTCTCGTGAATGATTGATTTCAACCTGCAATTTCAGCGGATCTTGAAGCAACCTCCGAAGAATCCATCGTGCGCAAACGACGGCCCTGTCGCATAATTGCTCACTCGTTTCTTGCCACTCGCCTCCGTCTTCTCAGCCTCGGCGACTTGAAGCGCAATTTCTCGGCTCGTGTGCTTGGTCTTTTCCAGGCCCTGAGGGACGGGTCGTCGGGGCGACTCAACAGGCGACCAGGCGTCCTGACGGGACATCCTATCCTCTTGTTCCTCGTAAGAATGCTTCTAGTAGCGATGCCAGGAGCCCTTAGTAGCGTCCTTGCTCCTACGTAGTAAGGCTAGGAGCCCCTCGTAGCTTCTTGTTCCGGTATATTCAATTGTCATGTCAAACGTGTGTGTGTGTGTGCGTCGATGTTTGTCTCATGTTGGGCCAGGATGTATGTCATGGCAGCTGCAAGTGTCACCGTCGGGTGGGTCGGCTTAAATCCAACTACAACCCTGTCAGGTGGCGAAAACGTGGACAAACTGCAGAACTTGATGAAACTACCAAGAGGGACAAAGTGGCACACCCTTTTGTTCATTCACGACAAAGCCAAGAATTGTCCATTTCCAAAAAATCTAGCGTGTGCCATAGCTGCATCACGCATCAAAGCCACAAACACTTACATAATTAGGCCGTGGGATGCATACTCTCTTCTACACAGAATTTTCGATCCTTCATCAGCCATTCCTCCAACCACATATTCGAACCGAAGCGAAAGCCACGGAAGGGCTCGGATCTTAATTTGCTCACATCCCGCAAAAGCACGTTTGAAATAGCCGCCCGCGCCGCGGAAGCGCTTCGATCTCCAGATTGGTCCAGTGTGGACTTGACCGCCGCGTGCCGAAAAACAACGGTGGCCATTGGCAGGTTGGGTTCTCTGAGAAAAACAGGCCACACATCCGGTGTTCAAAATCGTGGGTCAGCTTCAGGGAGTGAGGTCGCAAACTCGTTCTCCTTGTAACCTACTGACAGACGTGCCGTTGAGACAGGAAAAAAAATGGCTCGCAGTACCTCGGGACAAAAAACAAGGCCGGATGCTGTCCACAATCAGAAATGGAGCTGCTTTCTACCTACCTCATGTCGTGGAGCTTGCTTCTCTTTCACCAGCTTTCCTCAGCGAGTGCTTCCATGCAAGAAGGGCCGAGTTCCACTTGACTTGAAGCTGCTCCAGCCCAAGTCATCAACAAACCTCCTCTTCCTGGCCAGGATCAAGACTAGGCTAGTTGAGACATGCCAATGGAACCGTCTAGCGCACTGCAACGTTTCAGCCACCTTTAGCAGAGCGCATTGCGTGATCGCCAGGACTTTTGCATCAGTCACTGGGTGCCAGATTTGCCGTGTCTTCTGTGGGACTGCTCCCCAGCTCTGTGTATCACAGCGTCCCTGCTTGGCCTCATTCTAGCAACTCACAAGTTGGCCTTTCACTCTTCCCTGGTAACAGCATTGCTCCTAGTTGCATCCTTGCTCCTTAGTAGTGCGGCCAGGAGCCCCTAGTAGCGTCCTTGTTCCTAGTAGCGATGCCCTTTGCTCCTAGTAGCGTCCTTGCTGCAGCAAATATCAAACGAAATCGCCTCCCCAATCACTCCACGCATGCCAGACAAGGCACACAAGCTCAATTCGCGCCAAATACCTAGCTCGCAACATGGTGGAACGCCACCCCCTCTTCACCAAGATGGCCTGCTTGGTACGAACTACGCGAATTCGAAGGCGTCCCTAGTCTACACGAAAGCCTGCGGCGGTTTGGCCTTGCCACTCCGGCCGGGGATGACCTTCCAAACATGGGCATTACCGATCTGAGGGGCGTTTTGTTGCTGACATCAATCGATGGGCCGGACAGCCGGTGCTGCATGGTCCTACACATGCAGAAAAAAAGGCGTTCCCCGTGGAACCTGTAAAACAAAACTTCGTCACACGTTCTTCGCTATTTAGCATTGCTGCCGCAGTGCCATACTGAAGATGGACGCAAATCAACAATGAGCGCGAGACAGGCTTAACGAGCTCTTCAGGAGCACTTCCAACCTGTTTGCACTTGGAAGACTTGGTGGTCAACGCTTTAGCGCTGGAGATTTGCACGTCAACACTTGTCGGTCCGTTGAGAGGCACCCAATTTGGCACGCCCGACGGGTGCAGCCGCACACACGACGGGCGCACTACGCTTCCATGGCACAGTTCTGCACCGGATTTGAAGCAAAAGAACAGCAAGCGATGAGCCAATGCAAAGCAGATACAATTTCTGAACGTCATCATAGGTTGTGCACAGGAGTCACAGGCTGCTCACAGGTGTTCAGGCCAAAACAACCACTTGCTAGAGCACTGAATAACATGAGCATTTTGAGCTCGCCATAGCTCGCCTCTATCAAAGGTATGTTGTCCAGGATGGTGTCTGGATCTGCCGCAGAGAGTTGCGACAGTAGCTCATCTTCAAGGCGGCTGAGAATCACCTGAATGGGATTTTGGCACCAATTTCGGTGCAGCAGTGCAGCATAGCAATCGATTTCAGAAGATATTTTTTGAAGCACTTCACAACAGTGTTTCAAAAAACTATGGAACTTCTCTCTCTCCCTCTCGCTCTCCATCTTCAACTCTTTCGTGCCTTGAACTCATTCTGGCGTCGCACCAGGATCTGAGGCCGTATCGGGTCAGTCCGGCCGTGCCCCGCCCCACGCAGATCAGCCGTCCTTTGTGATAACTCGAGCAGAACTACCGAACGAAGAGAACCTAAAATAACCTAAAAGAACCCATTTGTAATTTATACCAAACGATACTAAATCCTACCTTGTGACTCCAGGAATCACTTTGTCGAGACCTTCGATTCTGGTACATCAGTCACTTCAGTGGTATGTCACACCTGTTTCTCTTCTTCCAGTTGTGGCTTTTCACAGTTCACCACCAAGGCTAGGATCTGCTCCTGACGCGAAGAGGAGGACGAGATGACGAGAATGAAAAGAAAAAAACGATAAAAGGGCTTATAACATTAATTACTTAAGCTACTAGTAGCAAAGGGCATCGCTACTAGGAGCAAGGACGCTACTAGTAGCTCCTGGCCATACTACTAAGGAGCAAGGACGTTACTAGGAGCACTGTTCTATTAACAAAGACTCTTGTTTTCGTTGGTTTTTATCCATCGCTCTCTGAGATTCATTTCGCTTCTCGCCTCGAGACCCTCGGGGGTCACAATAAAATTCACCACAGTGCACTGAGCTGAGACCTGAGACACGTGAGACACGTAAGACGCATGAGGACCTTCTTTTGAGTTGCAAGTAGCGACGGCCTCCACCCTAAAGGATGTTTTTAATGAATGTTCGACATAAAAGGTTTTTCTTTAATGCATTTTGTTCTTTGTGGTGTGTGTGTGTGTGGAAGATGTTTCTCGGACCAAAAGTGTTGACATCCGTCAAATTCTCCAGAAAACAAAGAACTCTGTTGCTCTGTCTATTCTCTAAGGGTTTAAAGGATATGATAGGTTTGCAACTTGCATCGTGTTGCAGGTCTACACTCTCTTTTTGTCAAGCAATTGAAACCTTGATGAAAGGAATGTTGATTGAAACTCAATGACACAAATGTCACAAATGTTCTCCAGGGATGTACAACATCTTGGAAATGTGGCTGCAGAATCGAATGTTGTCACATTTATATGACCTTGCCTGCCCTTGAGTGATGCCTGCTGGGAAGCCACTTCGTTGTCAAGACAAGCAAGGCTGGTCTGCTCTAATACTTTGACAGTAAACGTTACAGAGACGACTCAGTGTTGTGTTTTTGAAGGCCGGGGTATCCTTGTTTAATCATCCCCTCTTCATTTCAACACTGTCAGCTTATCTTGTTCTTTTGAGGGTCCTCATTCCCCCCTCTCTCTATTCTGACGCAAAGCTGAAAGCAGCCAGTGTCTTACTGTCTCGAGCTGTAGCCCGTGCAAACATTTATGGCCTTACTAAGTTCTCGCGCGCACGATCTATACTACTCTTGCTGGCACGAAGCAAGCTTAAGCCTGTATTTGTTGGAATTAGGACTGTTGAGAAAGGGAACAAAAAAATAACGACAACGGCAAAAAAGGAGACTTGGACATCAGATGAGGTGAGGAGGAACAAGGATATAACAGACCTAAGGAGCAAAGGTAGTTGTGGGTATATAAAGAGCCGAGTGCGGCAATGTTAGTGCAAACTTCCATTTTTGGAAACCTCACGGTTCCAGTCGCTATTTGGTTGAGAGGCCTTCGCTACCATTGCTAGTAGGTTGGAGGCCATCGCTTCCGGTTCTGACACGTCGCCCCCACCCCACCACCTGTGCCAGGGGGGCCCCTCTCAGCAAAGAAAACGCTATTGCTAGTAGGATGGAGGCCATCCTTATTGGAAACGAAAAACGGAAAGGATCCAGGACTTGAGGCCAGAGGGGGTGAACGAAAGCTAGCCGGGCTTCCGGTGGTCTGCTGCTGGTGCTGCTGCTGCTGGTGCTGCTGCTGCCGCTGCTGCGCTGGGCGCTGCTGCGCTGGGTGCTCTGCAGGCGCCGGGTCGTCTGCTGCTGCTGCTGCTGGCGCTGGGTGGTCTGCTGCGGCTGCTGCTGCCGCGGCGTTGGGTATGCTGCTGCTGCTGCTGCCGCCGCTGGGTGGTCTGCTGCTGCTGCTGGTGCTGCTGCTGCCGCTGCTGCGCTGGGCGCTGCAGATGCTTGGTGTGCTGCAGCTGCTTGGTGGTCCCGCTCACCGCGCGCGGGGGGAGTCGAACCGCGGGGGGGGGGGGGGGCCATAAGATTGATTTAATCAATTATTTGAGGTTTCTGAGGTGCGTCCACCCCGTCACTTAACTTGCTAAAGCAAGAGCAACTCCAGCTAGCTAAGGCTAGCTTTCGTGATGAAGGACCAAAGCTCTAGTCTTCCCGACCTCCGGCCGGAAGTGCGGATTCGGCAGCTTGGACTGTAAGTAGAGCTGAAACCTCGAGTTCAAAGAAGCGGAAAAAAACGTGAAAGAACATAATAACTTACCGTGTGTTGAAAGGAACAAGCACATAGAACCGGGAAGTGCGCACTTCGCGCTGAACTTGCAAAGAGTTGAACTCCCAAGGATCAGGCTTGCTGTCATATTCAATCTCATCTGGTCCCAACTTCAAGAACATGGGGCCACGCCCTCTCTTGATGACCTCGTTCTGATTCCACTTCACGAAAAACATCTAATGATTTGAATCTGAGGAGACAGCAGCTCGGGAGAGAAGTGGCTCAAGGATTGCATCAATCTCATCTTGCAAGGCCTTCCATTGAAGTTGCACGTGAGGGCTTGGCCACAATGAGAAGTTGCACTTCCTTTTGCAAGAAGCTACTAGTAGCACTACTAGGAACAAGGACGCTACTAGGGGCTCCTGACCTTACTACTAGGAGCAAGGGCCTTATAGAAACAAGAAGCTATTAGAAGCTATTTTATTAGCACCTAAACACTCACCTTGCCTCAATGAGAAGTTGACTGCCCGTCTGCACGCAGAAAATCACCTTGTCCAACCTGAGCAAACACGAAGGGACGAGCAGCCGCGAGCACATGCGAGGAACGCCGGGGCTGCAGCCATTTGGAATTCGAGAGTTGGATTACGGTCAACTCCTGCAACTGACATGACTTTTTCATGATCCTGAACATGAACTTTTGTGCACATTGAATTTCACCTTCACAAATGTCTCAAGGCGTACTGTGTCGGACCTTTTCTGAATCGATGGACTCTTGAAATTTGAAGGGAGACACAGACTCCCTAAAAATATAGGAACCGAGCCCTTCAAGGAAGCTCCCCAGCCGCCTTTAGGGCGACGAGGGGGGCTTCCTTGAAGAAGCATCAGCTATCCTGCGTCCTGTCAGTAGTAGCTTAAGTAAGGTACTAGCTACCGTTCGCTTCTACTAGCTACCTCGGCCTACCCTCCCCCCCAGCGCTTCGCCGTTCCACTTCTTTCCGAAGAACTGTCGATCTTCACCATCCGACTCCGACGGTGATGGAAGTTGCAAAAACCCATTCCGACGACACAAGCGACTTCCGAGAGTAGGCGGGGCTGTGACTTTGAGCTTAAGGACCTTTGGCATCCAGGAGCACTGAAGTTCTGAAGCAGTTTAGGCAGTTGATATTGACCAATTTAAGGTGTTTTTGGAGGACTGGTAAACCCAGACTCCTGTTCTTAGTATGGTTTGAAATCGCACAGCAGAGTCGCAATGTTGGACCACGCCGTTGCCCAACGAAGCTAATTTTGGCCGTAATGATGAGGCTTAAAAGACTAAATTTGCACGAGGAATGGTTGGGAGAGCTGAATAAGCCTGTCAAGGCATTGCCACATCGCTGAACCAAAGGAGCAATGAAAATCAAGACATTCATCACAATTCATCACAGACTCTATTCTTGTTCCATCTCGTCCTCGCCGATCCGCTGTTTGATCCACCTCGCCCCTTGTTGTTGAGGATCCACGAGCCTCGGATTCGATATCGATGCGCACAAGTGCCATGCGACTGGTAGTCATGCCCTTGCTACTAGCAGCTTCTTGTAGGAACCAACTATTCGACATCTACCAGTATGTGGTCAGTGGAATTGGAGTCACTTTTGTGCAACTCGACCATCGAACTTCATCCCACAACTTGGGGCCAGGCAAAGGCCATCGTGAGCAGCTTGTCACCACCGAAGCATTCTCCACAGAAACCCGATCAGCAGGCAAGCCCTGCAGGTTCGTGAAGAAATGCAAAAAGAAAAACCGTTTCAGTCATTAGACTTCTTCTCGCTTCGCCTCGTTCATCCAACCAGCTACATCTGCATCACTGGCAAGGACTGTGAGCGGATCAATCCCGTTCGTCATCGGGATCTCTCGTTCTGGGCGGCGAGCTGGCGAGCGGTGCTCTAGGCTCTAGATGGCTCTAGAGACTCTAGAGGCTCTAGGCAACTGCTAGGCACAAGCAGTGTTTTAGATGCTTTGGTTCCTTCACAACGAACAGTCAACGTTGGCACTTTGCACTTTTGGTTTCGTTTGTTGGATCCAAGGCTCGCTTCAGGTCTGCGGTCCAAACTTGTTGCCACAAGTCCTGAAAAGCAAAGAAAAGTTGCACAAGTATCGTTGAAAACGAGTATGAGTCATGGTGCATGAGTATGAGTCATGGTGTCATGGTGTCTGTGAAGTCTTTGTAGCTTGAGGTGTCATGTTCTTGACAGCTTCACGCGTTCGAGTGGGAAACATGTTGTCCTCCATGTGCATACATGTTGAGCCTTTTGTCGTCTTCTCTTTGCCTTTTTGCGTTTCCTTTGGGCCCTCTGTCTTCGCCTTTGGCAACATGTTGTCTTCCCTTGTAAAGTCTTCACTGTCAAGCGATTTCGCAAGTTTGGCGGGGTGGTGCCGCGGTACCGTGCACTCCAAATGGCGACGGCGTTGCGCGTCGAAAGAAACAGTTCGCGATTTGCCCTATCCTGGCGAAGGCGGGCTGAGAAAGGAGAAGCGTAGCCGACGAAGGCACTTGCCAGCATGCAGTTGCCTGAGGCAAATCCCGATCAGGATTGCATCTAAAACAGAGAAACAACAAGCTACTAGGAACAAGTACATCGCTTCTAGTAACAAGTGCCTTACTAGTAGTAACAAAATAAGCTTCTTGTTACTACTAGTAAGGCACTTGTTACTAGAGGCGATGCACTTGTTACTAGCAGGAATCGATGGCATCTCAATCGAATCGACTCCGCGTGCCGAGACGCGCCTATGAGACGGAGGGACAGATCACGAAGGTCCACCACCGTGTTGGCCCAGCCTGAAATCAGGTGGCCAGACCAAGGTTTTGTGACCTCCAAAAGTGACATGTCTGAAGTTCCTGGCTTTTCATGCGAAGAGTTTGAATACATATTGTTTCAAGTCTTAGACGTTCGTTAAGCTTCTTGTTCCTAGTAGCATCCTTGCTCCTAGTAGCAATGCCGATTGTTACTAGTAGCTTCTTGTTCCTATCAAGGTTGAAACATGGACACTTTTTCTCAACTTGTCCACCAGATCTTGTACGTTTCTACTGGGTCTCGGGCGTTCGTTCTCATCTGCAAGTCCCGAGACCAGGCGTTGTGCAGTGTTCAGCTTGGACACACAGCTAGCGGCCTGGCGAAGCGATGCGCGAAGTGTCCACTCTCGTCGCATCGGTGGATCGATGTCTGCAGTCTCGTGATCGAATCTCCCTTGTTACGCATCGCTACTAGGAACAAGTGCCTTACTAGTAGTAACAAGAAGCTATTAGTAACAATAAGCTACGTTCGTAGCTTCTTGTTCCTGATGGTAATAATAGCTTGTTCCTAATAGCGATTGCCCGACGGTCTCCACCTAGTAGCGTCCTTGTTCCTCGCACTCTGTTCTTCACGTCCTGACCTCGTTTCACCGTGCCTGGCGCTCCATGGTCTCCTTCTCGGTGAAGGCGTCCGTCAGCTGCTGATCCAGCTCGGCGCAGTCGGCCTCACCGTCGCACAGCCCGCAGTCCGTCGTAGTCCGTCCAAATCTGTCTGGAATTCTTCAGCCGATCTGGCGCGCAGTGGCGCACAGTGGTGCAGTGCCACGCAGTCTGCAGTACCACCTTGCAACCTCTTTGGCTCTTGATAAAGAAGTCTTGATTCATGGAAAGAAGCGCATTGACACGTGGTCGGCGTTCCGTGTCTTTCATGATCAGTCTCGCCTCAACTGCTTCTACACGCTTTTCGACCTGGCAATGTGTTTGCATCAAGAGTATATTGAGTTGGTTTCTCGATGTTTCTCGGTTTCTCTTCAGTTCGGCATCACAAGTCCCAGTCCAGATTTTCCCATCTTCAAAGTGTTCGGAATAATCTGAAATCCTTTTGCTCATGTCGGGAAAAAGAAACACTCAATAATGAGTTGAAGTTTCCCTAAACATCTAGGAACCAAATGAAAAGCGCGCGCTATCTTGTGTCCATACTAGTAGCTTAAGTAAGCTACTAGCTGCCGCTTGCTACTACTAGCTACCTACCTCCACTCTCGGCCTACCCCCCCTTTTAAACAGAGGGAAGGAAAAAGACGGAATCTTTAGGAGCAAGGACGCTACTAGGGGCTCCTGACATCGCTACTAGGAGCAAGGACGCTACTAGGGGCTCCTGGCCGTACTAGGAACAATGTTTGCTACTAGTAGCGAACATTGTTACTAATAGCTTCTTGTTACTACTAGCGTGGCACCTGTTACTAATAGCTTCTTGTTACTACTAGCGTGGCACCTGTTACTAATAGCTTCTTGTTACTA